GCCCACACTTCCACTTTGGTACCAGCTATGGCTACGGGAGGCCAGGGATCCGATGCACATTGGGGAGGAAGCACTGCGCGTGAAGTGGTACTTTTGGAGCCGTGCAGAAGTACTGGACGCCTGCAACATTCGTGTTGATCTGACAACTGACAACTGGCGTGCCTGAGTACAAGGAATACCTGGACAGCCTATCCTGGCTCTAAGGGTCGCTTTCAGACGTGGATCGCTCCTACAGCCTGCGCAGCTTCAACCACTTCCTCGACTGGGACTTTTCCATGGAGTCTCCGCGATACAGGGACACTTTCGCTTACCTGAGCAGGTGTCAGAGGTTGCCTGCGGGGAAAGGTTGACCCAGCAGCGATGTGAGGAACTCGGATGCATTTTTCACGCATCTGAGAACCACAATTATGAGTCCATCAAACGCGATGGTCTCCTGCTGCGGGCAACCGATTCATTTCGTCTAGGCCGGTGGGTCTGTATCTCCCGGTCCTGGGACGGTCGTCCTACGGAAGCAACATCTTCTACGCCAAGCTCGACATCGGCGCGTTTTTCAATCACGGGCACGAGCTCTATTTGACTGATAACGGCGTCGTGTTGTGCTACGCAGATGTGGCTCCAATGTATTTGACGTTCCACTATCGTCCTCCCCACGAGAAGGACCCAGGCGGACTTAAGCACGAACAGAAGCAGCGTGCCGGAGTAAGCTCCTCCTTTACGAGGAGGCAACTCCATCGGCAGCCGCCTCGTCTTCTGCTCCTGGAGAGGTACCCACTGGCAGCAGAGAAGTTCGCCAGAAGGCTATGCCCAAGAAGAAGGCGAAGGTATCTTCGGGTCCTGTGGTGGATGAGGAATCGCTTCGTCGTCTTATTCAAGAGGACGAACTTCGAGAGGCACTCGGTACTCCGAAGAAGCTGGTGACACCGTGCACGGACGAGCTGATGCAACCCATCTTCAACAGGAGGAAGAGCTCAAGGAGATCCTTCAGAAGGCACGATACAATCCGTGGCACCTCTTTCAGCATGGTTGCTTCACCACGTGGATTCGACAGGGAACAAAATGTACGCTCCCTACGGGGACGCACTGGTCAAGACGACACCGTTCAACAGCCTGCCGACTGACACGCGGAAGCTTCTGGGGGTAGAGTGTAATTGGGCGTCGTGGCTTTGTCATCCACTGAGTGGATACGGCGTCCATTTCTTCCTCAAGGCCATCGAATTGGGGAAAATGCAGGGCAATCTGCTGGTTGAGCTGAACTGGAAGGAGAAGGCCTATACCGACGGCTACAAGTCTCCTTTCATGTCAGGGTAACGATGTTACCACTCTCATCGAGAGCCTCAACCATGCCCAGCACCGAGAGTTCGCTCCTACCTTCAAGGATGTCGGCTTCAGAATTCCCGCGGGAAACGATCCTCGGGATAAGGAGCCGAAGAAGGATGATCCTGACTATGCAGCGAAACTCCTGGTATATAAGGCTTGCGGCTTTGAAAGGGATGTATACGCGCAGATTACGAATGTCAGGACGGACTTCTCGACGCTGGTGTCTGCAATTTCCCAGGCCTACGGCCCGGATTTCTTTAGCTACATTCAGAAACACGCTTCTGACCGGCCTCGACATTCGGCGCAAGTACAAGATCACTACGCCGGAGGGGTACACTTTGTACGATACCTCCCTCCGCGAGACTTGGAACGCACCGCTGGTTTTGGCCGCGCTCGAGAAGCAGCTGAAAGGACATGGCTCAGTCCAAACTCAGCTCTGTTTTTTGGGAGGAAAGCTCATGCGGACTTGATCGCGTGTGAGAACCTCCGTGCCCAGCGTGCCAGGGAGATTGAGGAGCTTTACACGCGACCCTACGAGGACATCGCGGTGGAAGAGTTCATCGACAAGCTGACAAGCTCCCTGGACCGACCATCGAGGAGGTCGACGAGCCCATGAACACAGCCGGCAGCTCCACTGATGTGCCAGCGGACTCTCCCTTTGGAGAGATGGCTGGTACAGCAAAACAGGAGTCTATCAGTGCACCGATGGAGACCGATGCACCAGAAGGCTCTCCCTCTGGAGAGGTATCTGGTGTCAAGGTCGGAACCGCTGAAGGCTCTTCCTTTGAAGAGGTATCAGAGACCAAAGACATGCACATTGCTGGTGAGTCTGGCAAGCACGACACAGATGAGGCCATGGGAAGCTCAACCCCTGTTGAGGAACTCATGCCGGACATCAATTCCTCTTCCTCCAAGGATGCTTCAGATGAGGAGCAACTTCGCGATCAGGGCATTTGGGGGAAGCAGAAGAATGTCGTGGAGCCAGGGGCTTACGAAGCGGAGGCCAAGGCCGCAACCGAAGCAGAAGCCAAGAATGAACAGGCTTTTGAAGATATGGCTGGTGCGAAGGAGAAGGAAGGACTGGTCGACACAGTCGAGCACCAGAACTTCATTGAAGCCTATCGCTTGGTTGAGCGTGTGAGCCTGCTCATGCGACTCGCCGACCAGCAAAACGGCTATGGCCAGACAGGTCTTTACCATGACAACATCCGTCTCGACGATACCAACTCCTTTAAGGTCCAGCACATGTATTTCCGTGTTAAGGTCCACCATCACTACCACATGAAGTACAACTTCGCGGAGGAGGGCCTTATGGAGCAGATGTGCCGGATGGAGCCGATCTATAATCGTCGATCGACTCGGATGGATGTCGTGTTCCGGGCAGGCGACTTTCGAAGTACTCTGGACGATCGCGAGATGGCCAGGGCATCCCATGCTCGAGAGGAAGCATTGGAGTTAAACCATATGCCCCTCGAGAGGTTAAAGGAACTCAACCGAGATCGCCGTTCTGCAGGCCGGGAGGAGTTGATGAATGCAATGCTTCATTACTTCAAGCAGCTGGCGTGGACGATGATGAACTCGGGGACCTCTCCCTTGAGAAGATGCCGAATCCCATCGGTCCTGCCGAAGATGGGCCAGTTCCTATCTATACGAGCAGAACAAAGTTCTCGGCTCTGATTCTCAATCTGGGAAGTTTTGCTCGTAATCGGAAGCGCACAGCACCTTCGCTCTACTCCGACATCATCGATTATGACGATTCGGGGGAAAGTGTTGGCGTTCTGATAAAGAGCATCGCACATGCAAAAGCACATTTGTTCTTGCCTTGCGAGGCCGGCGAGCTCAACCACCCAGAGCTCGACTTCTTGCATCGCAGAGGTTGGGAGACGGTGCGCAACCCGAACGGGGAACTTTTGGTCGGATGCAGAACCAACAAGGCAGGGTCACAGATGAGACAAGTGGCAGGATCCACACTTGTGGGGGGTAGCCCATAATCATCTTCCGTTGACGTATATGGTCGTTGACATTGACTTCGGCAAGACCCTACCTCAAGGTTCTGGTCCCTGCTTCGACCCTGACGTCGCCACTCACTGGAGCAGGCGTGGACTCAATGCGAGTCTGTGTGTTCCACTTGAACTCGAAGATCGCGAGGGGGCAGGTCAGCTTGCCTCACGAATGTCTGGCCTCCATGTTCAGTGATTGCCTGTATTATTCAGGTGGATCTTATTGGGGGTGACCCCAATATGGCTCTATATGGTACTCAGGTACCAGACAAGAGTCAATGGACATTCAAGGAGGGATGTATCTTGGACGCATGGGCACAGAGTCCGAGATGCATGCGTTTTTGCATCCCGAAGGCACAGTATGTGTCTGCCAACAGCCTATTGCTCCTAAAGCAGTATGAGGACACGCTTGGCCAGCCTTTCAGAGATTGCCCGAAGGTCGACTGGAATACTTTTCCTGGTCTGGACCCGACGGTCGCCACCGTTTTGGAGCGGGGCCATTCACTTACAGATGACCAATGGGCAAATCTCCCGGCCGATCAGAAGGAGTTCAAGCTGAGTGTTTCGGAGTGGCTCCTTGATTCCACTTCTGCCATGAACGACAGGGACTACGATGCGCATACTCATCTCCTGGTGCGAGCGAGGGCGATGAATCGTAATCCTGATACACTTCAAGAGAAGGCAGAGCAGAGGAAGCAGCGACGAAAGGAGAACAAAGCTCGTGGCTCGTGGTTCTTCTGGAGCTGCACCGACTGAACCAAGCTCTTTTCTATGGAGAGAAAGGCGGCAAAGGAAGGAAGTGGAGGCAAGTCCTCCAAGGGTGGAAAACACTGACTAGAGTGACTAGAGCCTGACTCCGAGTCGGACACGCCGGTCGTGGTACCTGCAACACGACCTCCTCCAGCTCGACCCGATCCAATCACCCATCTTCAGCTCGTCGTCATCTTCGGTGGCACGCCTAACCGTTTGCGACGTGGCAGGACTCGTGATCGCAGTTGGGACGATGATATAGAGGTGGTCGACTAAGTGTTTTTCCTTTTGACTTTTAAAGAATGCTTCTTCCTTAAGAAGGTATCTTCCTGTCAGTCCTTTTTCATTTCAGAAAGAAGATGCTCTTCCCTTGAAGAGGGACTTCTAATGGAACAGTTGCCCTACAGCAAATGAGATACTTCTTTTCTAAGAAGATACTCAAAGGAGCCTACTGGTTCTAGTCGCCTCAATATGCCAATAGCTGGCATCAAGTGGAGCTAAGCTCTACAATTTATGTGCAGTATGCTTTCCATTCTGGAGAGGTAACTGAACATGGGGGCATTACTTTTCAGTTGAGTTTTGTCCCGAATATCCGCTTGTGTGTGCGAGTTCTGCTTTTGTTAACCAGCTGTCTCCAGGCAAGAGATTGTACAGTTGTATATTTCTCAAGTCACTTTTGCTGCAGTTCTTTTGAGACTCCGCCAATGTAATTCGCTTGGGCAAAAACACAGACATCGTGAGAGCCGATACCACGGCCATGCAGTTTTACGAGTTTTTAAATTTGTGCCTGGTTGA